TCTTACTCCAAACAAATAAACAGACAATGAATCTTCTTTTCCATTAATGTCAAACTTACAAATAGATTATTACTGCCTGTGAATAAAATGGGTGTAAGAAATACAGCATGGCAAACATTACGGCTTTAGCAGGTAAGACAATCATTTCTTCTTTGGTCACTCATGACCATGATGCTGGAAATTGTTCTCTGAGGATGGGTCTCTGGCTTTTTTATGTGGTCGAACAAAGGTAACTGAAGCCCTGGTCTGGGACCTAACTGAAGGCAATGCCAGTTCTGCCACCACCCCCTCAAGGGAGCAGTCGGACCACCCGGGAGAGTGCCAAATCCTCACGGGTTCTGATGGCATGGGCACATGTGCTTTGGAGAAGAGCCTTATTTCACAAAGCACAGTTCTGAATTACTCCTGCTTCCATGTACTTTAATATATTCCTCCCTTCAATAAAATCTTTTAAAGCAGGGGCTGTTTCACACCATGTTAAATAAATGCAGTACACACATATAAAACGATACACACATTTAGTGACGGTGAGATAGAGTACCTAATTCTCCGCTTATCAGGCAGCCATTACCAAGAGACTTGAGAAGATGAAGCAAAATAAAAGTTCAACTTCTCACCTTCGACCGAGGCATTTGATTTAAGGGGTGTCTGTGTGCTTTTTTCCAGTGGAAATGGAACAAAATCAAGCTGATGCTAAAAAGAGTCTGCACTGTAAATCTCTACCCATCTCAGTTCTCTGTGCAGTACGGAAAGGCTGAAAGGATTATCAGTAACCTGAGATGCCCACTGAAAAAGAAATTATGAAAATACAATACATACAGTCACTACGGAGGGAATCGTTTAGAAGCTGAAAGAGCGGAAAGCTGTCCCAGGTGTCTGGGGGTTGCACCTCTAACGCAGCATCCATATCCACCGCAAACAGGGACAGGAACGTCTCCGCGTGCTCAACCATTAAGTCTGACCACCAAGCAAAGGCCTTCAGAGTTGGTAGAAAAAAATAATAAAAGAAGAATATTAGTTCTAATAAAGCACAGGGAAAGATGTTAGGCCACGTATCGCAAAAAAAAAAAAAAAAAAAAAAAAAAGTGCATCCCATGGAAACTACCTTTATTGTAAAGAGAACAGTGCTTTAAAGTGCTAGCCTGCACAGACAGTGCTAATCACAGGAATTAGGCACTGCTATTTTAATACAAAGGTTTCTTGTAGAGGATCTATTCAGAGCTCCACCGTAAAGGTATGCAGCTGTAACGTGGCAGAGAAGGTTTCGTCTGTTCAATTTACAATAAATGACTACATTAATCTTTAATTACGTGAATTATCAGAAAAAAAAATCAACTAATTCTTACTCTAAAGTACAGAAATTTGGGAGTTTCCTCACTGTGCTTGTGGTGTGTTTGTCAACAGCTTAGATTTTATCTGGATTCACTACTTTATTTGTCTTGAAAATCTACAAGCCTGAGACATTAAAATCTATCCTAAATCACTCACACTCTCCTTTAGAGATATTTCAAACATCACCAGTACAAGTTATTACAGCACTGTTCATTTTACATGGTCAGCTATACACACCCATAGAAACACACTACCACCTCCAGAATGCTACTGATTAGGAAACTGATTACAAAGCTCTATTATCAACATGCCAAGATTTAAAAAAAAAAATAAAAAAAATCTACAGCAAGCCTAGATTTTCACAGAGGCAGGAAAAAAATATATATCTAAACTTGAAAACCAAAAAGTATCAGTGAAGTAACTCATTCTCATGCACATGGGTCCTTCAAATTCACTGTACGGGCTCTCTGACGTGACATTCACATCATACATGGCTCAGATGTGAATGCTGCAAATGCATGCATGCGTGTTTAGTAATCACTTCTGGCTGGGAACATGCAATAATATGAGAAGTGCTGTCGTTAGGACCATGTGCTGTCATTTTGAAGGGATAGGAAATTACTCAGGGACTTAAAGGACCTAAGAAACAGCTTTCCGGCACTTTGCAAGAAAAAGAAACCTCTAGCACAGGCTCAAGACTGGAGATGAAAGGGAAAAGACTGGGAATAGGTGAATCAGTTTGAAGAGGAATTGCCAGTCAGGGAGGGGGATTTTTTGCAGGTTTTAGCAGACAGGAATAAGCAGAACGGACTTTCAGTTTCTTAGGGGTCAGTTTTGAGTCACTGATGAAGAACTGCACGTGTGGTCCAGCTGCTGGTTCACTTGGCCATGGAGAGGGAGCAGTGCCCCAAAACCAGGGGACTGCCATGGACCCTTGTTAATTCTTCCTGCTTTGGCCTGACTTCTCAGCTGCCAGTGGCATGGGGTCTTTGGGACTATTTCCACTCCTTCATTTCCCCAAAATATAAAGCAGAATGACACCATCCTGCTATTATTCCACGAGTTGATATAAAGCTGGTGTGCAGACATCAGCACATAGGTGGGACGTGGCACTGGGCATTATGTGTTCAGAGCACATCCAAGATGTAAAATAACCAAAATAACCAAATAACACCCAGAGTCATTCCTGTGGAAGAGCCGAAACGGAGGTGAGGGAGCCTGGAGGGCTGAGCACACACGGCAATGCTCCTCCGCTCTTCTTCCCACGTCTGGTGCTGGTGTCCAGCCCAGCATGTGGCTGCACTGGGAGGCATCAAACCGCTGCAAACTCATACAGGAACTGAAAACATCAAGATGCAGGTCTGCTCCTGATGCCTGCTCAAACCTTCTCCCCAAAGTGCAGGTGGGAAACGAGTGGATGCTGAGCCATGGGGCTGCGGAGGGTCCTCTCTAAACTGGTAGTGCTTGCCTGTGCTTTTCAAGGAGGGTGCCGGGGCTGTCCCTGCACTGACACGGTTTCTCTGGCTGTGTTCCTGCCTGCCAAGAGCCTGCCACGCGTCTGCCCATCAGATACTGCCCACAGGTCTGCGGGCAAAGAGCAATCGCTGCAGAGGACCAAAGGCAAGCGGCATTTTGGGGGGAGGGAAAAGAGGGGCAGCCCAAGAATATCTTCTGCAACAAATCCCAACATAAACACTTCAGAGTCCTGCAATAAAAACCTGCTTCCATGAAAAAGGAAACAAAAAAAAAAGCTGTTTTTAAGAGAAATGATAAAGAAAAGCGTGTGATCATTTCTGGAAAAAAAAAATAATGCTCAAACCAGTCACAGTTTCCCTTTTACTGAAAAAGTCAAATTTTAACTTATGTCAGGATCCTCAACCTCCTCCTCCCTAGTCTCGGTGAGTAGGACCTTCCTGCGGCGGGAGCGGTAACACCATACTTTGAAAATCTCCTTCAAGATGGTAATATTGCATTGATTTACCATCTACTTACCTGCTTTGCTCAAAACACAATGTAAAGGGGGGGAAAAAAAGTGTGCTTCTGAGCCAAACACACCTATTATTGTATATTTTACACATGGATACACATGTATATATGTATGACCTCAAGGAGTTAGAATACATATATACATATACACATACGTATACATAGAGAGAGAAAACCCAAGTTTAAAAATAGGTGAATGGCATTGTCTCTGGCATTTGTCATCAGTCATCCGGAGGAACGGAAAGGGAGGCGGGAGAGATGACACAATGACAGAGACCTCCCGCTCTCACAGATTACAGACGTAGGCACACGGTTTCTGCCGCATCTCTGCCTGTGCCGGTTTGCTTCCTTCTTACGGGTGGTAAGACAAACCCAACTGACAAGACGTGGTACTTCTGCTGTAATGTTTTTTGAACATTTTCCATGCTCTGAGTATTATTTTCTGGGTTCTCATTAGGGAGTCTGCCTGGATGTCCATGTGGGGAAAAAAGGGGGGACGTGTTAATTGCAAAAACTGTTGGTTTTCAGTAAATTAAGGCATTTCTTCACTAAGTGGTGCAATTTAATTTGCTACTGAACATCCAAAGTAGATGTAAGAGTCACACTTTGCAGGCCAAACCTCCTCCAGGTGAATGGACAACACGTCAAAAAAAATCACCTGGAATAATTCAGAAAAAAAATGTGCAATACCTCAGCAATTCTCATTGCACAGCGAGAGCATAATGTGGCTACAACACATAATAAAAACCAGTGATAAACCACCCAGCCTCTTCTCTCTCTTCCTTTGGGTGCAATTCAAAGTGTGCTGAGAGCTGGCCAACTGCCTGCACACTGCTGAAATGCCACAGCCACCCTCAGGACAGGGATTCAGTAACGTACCGACAGTGCGCCGGGCTTCTGGAGAGAGATGAATTTCACCCTTCCAGGTCACCGTTCAGAACAAGGGACCAGGATGCCTCCTATCCGTGTTGGCATTAACCTTCTGTCTCTAATCAAAACCTTGTGACACAAAAGATGCTGGAGAACAGTTCTGAGCCTTCCTCCTGGTGAGGATCTCGGCAGCGTGGCTGGCGGAGCGCGACCGGCCCTGCAACCCCCTCCTTCAGAAGTCTACTATTTTCCAAGTAACTCACATTTTAAAAACCTTCCCAGCTGGTTGTACATCCAGCCTGTGCTGGTGATGAGTGGAATAAAACACTCGTTATCCTCGGACAGGTTATCACAGCCCATGCGCAAGCGAGTGCTCTGGAGCACCCCGTTGCTTTTGTACAAAACCAAGTTTATTTCACTCTTCACCCCGTATATTCTCTCTCTACATATAAATACTGTATATCCAGTACAAGGCACATACAGACAAAACCAGAGGAAGACCACTACCGTTCTAGGCACTCGTGTAGTACTTAGTCCATCTCCACCACAGTGTACTAGAGGTTGGGTGAATGCAAAACAACAGAGGTAACAACAGGCTGAGGAGAGAGTCCAGGCAGGTAGGGTTGTGTTGGGATGTAACTGCAGCGCTCGTAAAATATACCCATTGCTACATGCATGGACCAGACTGCTACGCCACATTTACTCTCCTGTGTCAGGCCACCAGCTCCGCAAGCAGCCGACTTGAAGTTGCTGTTACTGGGTTAAAGTTACGGAAGCGAGGGCAACCCGGGTAAAATCCCAGTAGGAAACATGGCACTGAGAGGGCATGCACGAAATATGACAGGAGTGACTCGTTTCATTCGGTTTAGTCACATACCTCTTTCCCCTGCCAGGATCATCCAAGATTGAATGAACAGTAGAAAAACAGGGAGGAAATTTAAATATGCAATCAGGCATTAGTTGGGTGTTGTGGATTGTTGTGTATTATCAATAAGTTAAATTATACTGCAGATTTCATATAAACTGGAATGATTTTTTTAGGTGACTGTGAAATTATTTATCAAACGCTCTTAATGCAAAATATAGTGAGTCTATATATACCGATGGGAAGGAAAAGAGAAAATAGCGAACGAGTGTTACATTGCCTACAGTCATAAACAATAACTGTTCACTCTGAACTTTAAAATGATTAACTTTTCAACACGTATCCAAGAGCACCAGATTTATCAAGAACTCATGGCTCAATCCTGCAAATACTTACACGGGTACACAACGCCCCTTGCTTGGGCAGAAATGTCCCGACGTGCTGAGAGCGGGACTACAACCAGCAATGCCAGCTGCCCCTGGGGTCAAGGGTTCCAGCCTCTTGATTTTCTGGTCTATATTTGACTATGACATGGTTTCAGTGGTTTGACAACATGAATCTTTTCGTTAAAGTGCTTTGAAGACTTAAGAATGGTTATATTATGCCTTAGATAACCCAAATAATGAGTAACAGAGATTAATTCATTCTAGTAATTGAGGCATTCCCCATAAGCCAAGGCAGAAGAGGACAACAGGAAACCAGGTGAATTAATCAGGTGAGTTAATCCCAGGGAGATCCCTGGGAACAACCTGAATGCTCAGAATGGGACAAAAAAAGAATTGTTTGGTTCTGTGTTGGTTTTCCTTGCTCCAGCTCCGGACAGCAGGAGCGGGAAGCTGCTGCAGGGATCCTGCTAGTGCCTTCAGATGGAGGCACAAACACATGACATTTTTTGGAAATATGACCTTCCTGAAAAGTGGACAGGTTTGCTCTCGCATGTAGTCAGTGGTGAATATATTTAGCCAGATTCGGCTCCGGCTGGTGCTGTATGAAAAGCTGCAGACTGGCGTAGAGGAGAGCAGAACTTAATTAATTCCTCCTTTATCCCTCCCTCCCTCTGCAAAAGCCATCTCCCTGAACTGCACGTTGCCTTCATCACACTCCAGCACCATTATTTAAGAATACCTTTGGCTTTTAAAGAGGATAACCCAGCAGCAGTTGGGAAGACATCACACAAATATACAAAGCGTCCAGCAAGGCACCGGAGCCTGCGGAAGACCTGGGGGACATGACCTCGCCGGGCGCCGCTGCTCACCTCCGCATGGTGTTCTTCGTTTTGCTGTAGGACTTCAATTACCAGTTCTGCCAGACGTATTGTATCTTCTAACTTTTTAGCTGGTGTGACTAACCGGCCTACATTCTCTGTAGTACAAGAACTCGAGTTAAAAGGGAGGCAGAATGAAAAGCTAGATCTACAGTAAGTTATTTTAGAGGTTTTAAAAAAAAATCCCATAATATTCTACAGCTTTAAAGATCTTTTCATGCATATGTTAAATGCTTATATAATTAGTACTGAGCAAACCAGAAAGCCACATTCGTTATTATACTATGAAAATACAGTGCTCCAGCTCCAAATTTCACAATACCGTCAGAGTTCTTTTGCTTTATGGTTGCACTTTATTAGCTCAACTAAGAACATCGCATTCCCTAAAGACAGCATCTGGCCCCTAATACACGCACAATATGTATCCTTCAACGTAGATGATGCTATTATAGAAATCACATCTATATTATTTTAAAATTCTTTGAAGAAGATCAATTCAAACAAATCTGTCTGCACTTTTAATAAATTGTCAGATTTGAGCAATTTAAATGTCACCTGCTACTGAAAGCAAAAATTGCAGGTCTGCCTTGCTCCAGGATTTAACTCCACAAGGGTCAAGGAGTTACGCATGCTGGAGGGAGTGGAAAGTGGTAAATCCCACTGGGCATTCATAGGTAAGATTTATATGGGAAAAGAGATGCAACTTTACAGCAAAAACCCTGCAAACAAACCAAAGAGTTTAAATCCTGGAGCTTGGTGTTTAGCCATGTTGAGCTATTTTGCAGCGTTCTCTGAAGACTTTTAAAAATAATTATATTTTTCTAGGTAATTTATCTTATTAATAACATGTTAAAGATCCGAGGTGCTAACAAGCTGGAACATTTAGAGTATTGCACTAGAAATAATATAGAGAAAAATAAAATAATCACATTTTCATGGAATGACAATTTCTGCAGAGCTGGCTGCGTGCAACCCAGGAGGTTTCTTTCTATGAGCTGACACCAGGGCTCCCTTCCCTGAGGAGTGCAAAATCTCCCTGTGATGGTCACCCTGAGGAGAAGCAGAACAGGAGACCTGCTGCCTGGGGACCCACCTACACTGTATCGAACCACAGAGGTGTCCCTCTGCTTAGGGACCAGTGCCAGTCCCAGTTCTCTAGTGCAGCCAGGGTGATGTGCTTTGGTAGCTACACCCGCCAATTCCTACCTCTGCACTGACGTATATTTTGGCCTCTCCATGATATCACAGCTGGAGACTTCATAAATGGGTGAAATACCAAAAAACCCCAAACCAAACAGCCAAATCGATCTGCTGCAATTAGCAGCGTACAACAGACCGTATGTGCCCAGCACAGCAAATCGCTGGCAGTGCACACACCGAAGCGCTGTTACCAGCAGCCACCCTGGGATTTCCAAAGGATGCCAAGGTGCTGGCTGGGCATCTTGCTCCAGCCTTCTGCACGCACCAGCTTTTCGCTACTGTTTTGCTTTTCTCTGCTGATCAGACAGAAACGGGTGGTGGCACCCAGGCCGGCCAGCGCTCTGCTCTGTGGCTCAACGGGGGGAGAGATCGCTGCCCTGCTGAAAGCTTGGGGACCTTCCAGGACTTCATTCCCCCCTCAGCATCTTGCCTGCTCCTAGTTTTCCCTGAACGCCTGTTTCCAGGTAACAAATTTCCCATGAAAAGGAAAGCCATATTTTTCGGAACGGTCACATTTGGGTGGTCGAGCGAGGGGTACACGGGCTGGTCTTCAGGAGTTCAGCAGCTCGCTCAGCCGAAATCTGCCACGGCAGGTGCTTGGCTCGGCTGGGAGATGCAACGTGGTAAAGCACCACACAAACAAACTCTACTCTTTTGCTGATTTATGCCACAGACAGAGGCCTTGGGGGTTTCTTCTCCAGTTTCCCATTCATTTCTTGTACCACTGGAAGCAGTAAAAATAACCAGGTTCTCCTTAATATAATTTATTGGGCAAATACTGAAATTGGAGAGCTGCTGGTTAACTCATTCTTTCTCCTATTCAATCCAGCACCTCACTGGCTACAAGAAGAAACCTCTTCCTTTTGTGCAAAAGGAGCTCAAGGCCATGTTCCTTAGTAAGCTCCGGTTGTTTCTGCACCTCCAGAGCCAAGGGGAGGCTCTTCCATTGATCAGAGCAGCGTCAGGCCCATTCTCATTTGCAACACTGATCTGCTCTCAAATACAACTAAAAGACAAAAGTGTTAATAAGAACAACTGCTCAGAGATGCTGTCTTTAAAGAAAATATTGATGCTTATACAACTTTGGCAGCCAGCAGATGTCAATCTTAATTTTTTTTCTTCTTATTTTAAATATTTCCCTGGTTAAGTTACTATACATCAGAATATTCTGCTAAGATAGCTGGAGCACTGACAGTTACATGAAACGTATACGATATACTTATCAAACATTTCATCCAACATCATGTAAAGCTCATACATATTTATAGTTTTCATGCAAAATGTTATGCAACAACAATGTTATTTTGTGCTGACGTTGATATTTGAAAATGTTGCATATGTCAGACATTGCTAGACAAAAAAATGTGGACATTTTGAAATAAATGCTACCTCTAAATCGCTAAAACCTACCACATCGCGCTAGGTATTGCTGCATACGAGAACTAGCTTTCTACTACTACACAAGCAACTGCTAGACTAGAAAACCACTGAGTAAAAGGAAGGAAGACTATTACAGTACTTGGCGGCTGTTTGGCCATGCCTTTGAGCATATGATTTATCATGTTAGTCTGCGTTTGAGGAGATGATGGTGGCCCAGCCGGTGGCTTAGGCTTGGGCGGACGGGCTGCTTGTGCATGACGGAGAGAGACGCCAAAAGCAAAGAGACATTTAAATGACTTCAGAAACAGTGACAAAAAGATGGAAACTTCGAAAGGAACATAAGCAGAAATGATCAAATACAAATGGAATAAGCTGCTGGGTTTTTGCTTATCGGTACTTGAAGTATTACATGGTAATGACACCATTTGACAACACATATTCTAGAAGTCAGCGGGTTCTAACATCCTACGGTACCGTGCAATCAGAAAACTAAAAATTCAATGCAAGTATGAAACTGCACTTCATGCAGCCACGTGAGGAAACTGCAATAGGGTAATTCAGTTAAAACTCTGTAATTCAGAAGAGGTGAGCTAAAAAAGATGACTTTAAGTCAGCACCCCAATGCTTAGGTACATTTAGCAATAGAATAATGAGCCATAGGAATTAATTGCTTTGCAAATATCAATTACACATTTTAGAATTAAACATCACTGTTGGTTAAAAGGAGCTATAAAATATTCTTGTGCAATTTAAACATGTAAAAAAATCTGTCACTTAAAAATGTGTGGTTCCTGATCGTTTCCAGCTCATTTAATTATTTTCAACTTGGAATTCTAGTGGCTTTTATATTCTGGGTTGAATCATATATAAAAACTTGCCAGCTCTATCAAATATGTTACTTGCTATTCCAAATGTTAGAATACTGCAATCAGGACTTGACCCATCTGTCATATAGTTTACAATATCAGCATAGGAAAAATTCAAAGAAAATAGCCTTTCCTTTTACATACACTCAGAGAATAAATTATGTACTGTGAATATGTTAACACAATAGTTTCCATTCCATTTAATAACAGTTTTTAGCAGCATTGTGACTATTTTTAATGATGCCATTTGCAAGGAATCTGGCATATTTATCTGGACATTCTATTGCCAAAAGTCCTTGCCATTTTGCTTGCATTTTCCAGTGGGGGAAAAAAAAAATCGGTTGGCTTGTGCAAAGTAGATTTCTGATTGCTTTTTAATTCTCACAGAATTATAACACTTATCAAAGTATAATAACGACTATTTGAGTAAACTGTTAGTTCAAGATTATGAGTTAGGTTTGTTCCCCTCTCCATACATAAATATACATACGTACATCAACACACATACAATGTGCACGTGCACGCACACACATATGCACACACACACACAGATTTTTAGTCTTTTAAGCTGTGTAATGATTTAAATCAGACTCTCAGATTCAAGCTACTGGTTTCTGCGGTTTTTTTGTTGTTGTTTTCTGATAACAGGAAAAGCAAATCTATTTGTTCATCTCTGGAGTCATCCTGATCCTTGTTCAATGTTTACCAAGGGTGGCTTTGTCCCCAGAAACAAACCTGTCAGCCTCAAGTGACAAAAATAACTGCTTTTTGGGCATTGGCCTAATGACTTGCACTCTAATTTAAAACATAAGCAAGAATTCAATTTGGCTACTCAATGATGGCTCCTGAGCTCAACATGTAAATGTAGGAAGAATATTTTACTGCCCATCGCTATGCAGAGCAGTTTGTGCCATGGTCCTCGCGTGGGAAGGGACCGTAGGGAGAGGGGACTGCACATCTCCTCCCATCCGCACCTGGCAACCGCGTGGTGGGAAGCCCTCGCCACCCAGGTGAGTCCGTTGGGCTCCAAAGGTGGGAGAGTCAAAGAGAGAGAGTTCAAAGTGTCAAAGCCTGGGGAAAATCACATCCCAGGATTGCATCCCACCGTGACTCTCAGCACCCTTAAATATGAGTCCAGCCCCCTCATTGCCAAAGCAACCCACTGAAAAACTGACTGCAACATCCAGACCCCGTTGTGTCAGATAGGTCTGACTTGTGCAAATGATTTCTATCCTAGGGAAAAGTCATTCGCAGAGGAGGAAGAGGCAAGAGATGCAGCAGCACCGGGACTTCCCGAATTGCTGGTGCAGCGTGCACAGAACAGCTTGGAGGAGGCTCCCGCTGTGCAGCTCTCAGTGCACTGCCCCGGGGTGGCTTTCGCTTCTCGGGGAGACCTGTGACAGACCCCCCCTGCGCCTTACTCCTGCTCCTGGCATCTCCCCACCGCCACTGGCTCTTGCAAACAAGCTTCCCCAAGGGATTACAGCAGGTTCAGCAACATTGATGTCATTCTGATCTGGCCCAACCTGCACAAATATTCAGCTCTTTTGTTCATTTAAATTTTTCAGAACCAAATCCAGGGCTCGTGCGCAAGGGCTGCAAAACCACCTGGAACTGAAGGAGAGGAGAGAAAGAGCTCTCTCCCTTCCTCAGGGCACAGAACACCTCGTGAGCCCTGACCCACACTTTTCTTTGTTGCCTCTTCATAGCAACAAAATTTAGAAGATTAAGGTCTGGCTAAGGAAAGTGATTAATTTCATCTGTGAATTTAAACACAAATGGGGCTGTGATAGCAATGCCCTGCGAGGTGCTGGAGTTTACGCACGTCTGTGGGTCCAGCTCTCGGAGATGGTATGTGGGGTCCCTTTCACGGGGTGTCTTGGCTCCTGCTCGGAGCGAGGAGATGGTAATGCTGGATGGGTTTTACGGCATTTGCCAGAGATCAGCTGCAGCCTGTGCGGCAGGTTTTGTTTCACTTTGGCTTTTCTTCCTTCCCTCCCTGTCCTTTTCCTCTCTAATCCCTCGCCACAGCCAGTTTAGCATCGGAAATGCTCTGGTATTCACTGCTCACATTGTGTCAAACAGGGACAATTTAAACACCTCCAGCACTGCAATCTGAGGCAGGAGCAGCTTCTTCCTTCCTAACAACCTGACAAAGTGCAGTCCTGGGCAAACTTCTGCCAAAGGTTTTTATGCTTCCGCATGATACTTGCAAATAAAATACTTGCAGAAACTCAAATTACTTGGCAAATTCTGGGGCTGTGCTTGCAATAATCTTTAGCCTGCAATGAATATAACAGGTACATTAAAAAGTCTGTGCTATTTTGGGTATGTATATCGTATACAATGCAGTGTGTGTGACTCTTCACGAACTGGAAGATCTTCAAACTACAGATTTCTCACTCAGCATCATGATTTCTGCTAGATGGGCTACTAGCACATCAGCAACAGTGAGAATTAGACTTGCAATAGGACAAGACTACTGTTGACTTTCTGTATTTTTTAAAAAACATAGCCACTGACTCCATGGTTTCCTTGTAAAAATTAAAAATATATAAACCCTGCCAAAGGCTTTGGTATATAAGTGTTATTACGTGTGTGTTCATTTGCAAGCCAATCATGACAATGATAAAGAGAGCTGCTGCTCTCAAGATAACTATAGAGAATAATGGACTTAGCCTGAGGACGAGGCAAAGCAGTCTTTTATTATATTCGTGAAATGAATTTGCATGTATCTGAAAGCGATTTCAGTGATGATATAATTTTTTCTTTCAAAATAAGATATATTATCTTAAAAGAAAAATTCCTAGAAATATTTTTTTTCCACCTCAGGAAGAGACTCTAATTCAGCTCTCAAAACTCAGCAAACTGGGAAGAGAACTGATCTCCTGACTTTCTGATGGTTATTCAGCCTAGGGAGGAATTTTTGCATCTCTGACTTCTATCTCGTGCCTCAGGCAGCAAATTGCTCTGCAGTTGGTATGAGACTTGTAGAAAGATAATGGCACAACGCAGATCTTTGTGATTTCTGAAGTTCTTGTAATAACTCTGACACTGCTTCAAACACTGCCTTTGAAAGTGCAAGAGGACATCTCCAAAGCTGCATAAGAATTCTTCGTTCGTTAAACACAGCCGAATGCCATTTCAAGGAAGGAACGAAATAAAGCAGCAGTTCAGCAGCACACAAATACAGGTTGTAGTTATGCCCGAGTTGAAGTGTGTGATTTATTAACGACTTCAGTCTCCACTCCCACTTACAAAGACTGATGTTTCCATACATTTTGCATCCATATTTATTTGGGGAATGCTTTTTTTTTTTTTTAAGCTTTGTGGTTTATCACAAATGCTGGGAGTGATAGCCTAGCAGCGCCTGGGCTGACAAACCCCGCAGGACCTCTCCTTCTCCTGGACCAGGTTAATCGTCAGGCAGCTCAGCCCCTCGTACTTCAGCACGCTCGCTGAGAGTTACGGATACGTGCACACAGGCTCCCAGGCTGAGATCCAGAAACTGGGAAGGCGAGTGACGTAAAGTGAGCATGGGGACTGTGACAAGGGCCAGTATGAACGCCTTGAAAAATACCACCGCTTCTTAACAACCTGCTGTACTGCTCGAATCAAAACCCAACCTCTTCTGCACCCACGTCCTCGGCTGGGGACGCGTTCCATCCCTACTGGGGTGAGCACTGCGTGCAAGATGCTCCACGGCCGCCGCCAGCTGAGGCTGACACAGCCAAAGCTGCCGCACTCGGTCCCTGTCCTGCGCGTGTCCCCGGGTCCCCAGCCTGATGCAGGCACCTGAGGGCTGTCTGCCTTTGCAGGAGCCCCGTAGGAGCCCCTCACTGCTCTGTGGGCAGCCCTGACCCCTGCTCTGACTGGGTTTGGGCTCTGCACCCACCCTGGCACCACCGCTGAGTGTGTTTTTGAGGGAAGCCAGGCTTCCCCGCCAGCCTGGCCGGGAGGAGGATGGTGCACGCCAGCGGTGCAATGCAGCTCAGCCCGATGCTGCGCCTCCGGAGCCTGGCTGCCCTGGACAGGGGCTGGGGAGGTGGCCGGACAAGTAAAAAGCTGGTATTTTTGGATATCCTAAGAGTAGCCTATTTCCCTTGGTGACAGAGCAATAGGACTTCAGCAGGTCCATCTGCTCTGCAGACTCTTTCCACTTGCAGCCTCTGCTGCCTGGGCATCGCGCAGCGAGGCGAGAGCTGCCTCCAGCCCCACGTCCACTTTCCATCTCTGCGCATCAGCTCAGCAGTGCCACGAGAAGCCTCTCTTTACAGAGACCAAAACCAAATCACAATAGGAGAAATATTCAGTCTGAAAACTAAAAAAAAAAAAAAAAAAAAAGCCTTCTACTAAAGACAATTAATTGCCAAACTGACGACTATCACCTGGGCCGGCACCAGCTCTAAAGCTGCCTGGACCCAACTCCAGCAGTGCAAAGTGTTGTGTTCATGGGCTCCCCCAGTGTCACAGCACTTCAACACACTTCCCAAATCCTGTGCTTAACGAATGGAGAAGTTACTCTTTTCTAAAGGAGCACTGGATTCCCAACTTACATAAATAAGCAGATGAACACTTATTAAAAGGTTGCACTTATTAATCTGAGTGTTAGTAATTTTGTCTGATTAATAATTAAAGCAAGTCATTCATCTTTAATTGTTTTAGCGCAGTGTTCTGTTTAATGTTCTATTTCAAATCAATATTTTAAAGCAAGGCAAGAGACTACATACTTTTCAGGAGAAAGGACATCTAAGGGTGACATTTGTGTATTTAAGAAGTTGTTTTCAGTATCTTATTTTTATTCTTGCTTCTGGCAAAATAAATAAAAAGTCAGGCCAAACCCCTAGTCACTTTTGACTCCACTTAGGCTGAGAAACTGGTTTCAAGTTGAGTCCTGCTGACCTTGCCTGAAAATTTTTCATTTAAGACAATGGGAGATTTGTGGGCACAAAGCAGCAAAGCTGCAACTCCCTGCATCCTTTCACTCGCTCCAAGCATCGAGAAGAAGCAGTTTTTATTTTAAACGAGCTGGGCCATAGAAACATCCTTCTGAATTCCTAAACTGTAAACACGTGACGAGCCGCTGCCAGCAAGTGTGATGCTCGGTGCATTTATTGTGCTTCATGCACAACAGCCTGCGCTCAGTTTAATCCACTGTGGTTAGTGGTAATAACTGGAATTGTTCTATTTGCTGTTGCTTATTTGCACCGTTTATAGCTGTAAGGAAAAACTATTCTCCATTTTCTAAATATTTATTGCTATTGAAAATTAATTTTACTGTCACGCCATAGCTCTAGATCCTGGGCCAAATGAGAGCTGCGGAGGCCTGGGGAAGCCAGGGCAGAACCTGCCCCAGGCTCTTGTGCTGCTTTTTAAAAGCAATTTCCCTTCACAAACAGAGCTAAAACCAACCTACTCCTTTTTTTTTTTTTTCTTTTTTCTTTTTTTTTTTTTTTTTTTTTTTTTTTTTTTTTTTTTTTTTTTTTCTTTTCCCCTTCCACAAAACAGAACAAACTACTCACAAAAAGAAATGAACAGTTCAGGTTTCAAGGACTTTTGAACTAGGACTCTGGGATACAACAGAAACGAGACCAGGGGCTGCAGAGCTCCTCCATCCCTTCCGAAGAGACGGGCACTCGAGCTGCACCTTTGCCTTGTTACATGTCACCACAGGTCATAAACGAGAGACAAACATGACTTCTGTCCCACCGGATCGTTTGTTACACATTAACAAAAAAAATAGAAAATAAATAAATAAACAAAAAAACCCAGTCCTCCCATCAGGGCATAAAACAGAAGGTATGAAAACCAAAAATGAACATTAGTTTAGTTATAAATGTGCTTGTTAGGTGTGTTAAATTAATGGCCAAATCACCAACATTTTTTCACCCCAAATGAGTTGCAGTTCTTTTGGAAAATAAGAAACTTTCTCTTTACAAAGGCTAGATTCTCCTCTATAACTGTCTCCTAGGAAGATACTACGCTTCTATAAGGTATTTCTAATCTACACTCTATTCTAAGGAAGGAGGAAAAGGAGGTTACGCAGACAGCACAAATTAACTCCTTAAGTATTAATGCATCTCCAAGTTCAGCCTGAAGGAGTACATATCTTAAGGAGCTATGAGAAAAAAGAAAACAAAATCAATATAACCCGACAGTCCTAGTGATTTATAATGCATATACAATTGTTCACCTGCATCCTTTTGATTCTCTATATGAAAGAGAGAAAGCAACAGGGAGAGAAAAGAGAGAAACAAGAACAGATATGCAGGATTAATGAGCAAGCGGACCGCACAGCCCCCCAGTTATGTGTGATACATGACATTTGAAAAGAAGAAAAGTCGTCCCGTCTCGCCCCCCGCCCCCCCACGCATGGGGTTACCAAAAGAAGCTCCGTTCACGGAGGTGAAAGGAAACGCTGCACAAATAGAAAACCAGAGAGGGCGAGCTCTGAGGACACAGAGGGGATCTCCAAGGGACAGCGGGGCTGGGACGTCCCCTCCACAGCTCGGTGCAAAGGAGTCAGTAAAAAAATCGAGGGGGAAGAGCAAGTAAAGCGCATCCTTCCGCTCGAGAGTTAACAGACAGGAGACATGTAAGATCTAACGTACAGAGAAAGGACAGCCTCATACCATCTTATACACAGGATTGGGTAAAGATCTGATACGCAGGCAAAGGGATGGCTTTTTCCAAGTGTCCTTTATCTGACCTCTAGCTCACTTCTCCCCGATGTAGCCGCTACCTTTTGATTGTGTACCAGTGACAAGCACTTTACAAATTGGGGTTACACAGAAGCAAAGTAAAAATGCATTCAGGTCACGGACATAAAAAGAAGAACTGAAAAAACTTACAGACGATCTGAGCTTCTCACAAACAGATGGGTTAATTGTCTAACCTGGTTTAGGCTGAGAAAAAGTGACTGGACTTCTCACACTGGGTTTCACAGACAGAAGCAACAGACAAGCCAATGCTAAAAGACTTGAAGCAAGGAGAGTGAGTTGGTTTGGATCTGGACTTTCTTGAGGTAATGAGAACAGAAAGAGTGAGGACAGCATGGAGAGGAGGGTGGTAGGTACTCACGAATGGTTAAATCCATCACTTGAGAGGCCAAGCAGAAGACAGGATGCTCATACATTTCTCTCTTTTTCCCTATAAAAGAGGATTTGGGCATGCAAGAGGCTTAGGTCAGAGGTAAAGAGGTTATAGGCTATAGGTCAGAGGAAAACTTTATATCAGGTTAAAAGGAAAGTAGCTGTAGAGTATTTTGGGATACACACAGGATAAAAGGAAGAAATAAAAAAAAAAAAAAAAAAAAAAAGAAGGGCTGACACTGGAGATCTACTGGATTAACCATTCAGCATGCCCATGAGTCACAAGAGAGGCTGTGACCATGACTCTACAGGTTTGCTCTGAACTGTTTGCAAGAATATAATGATCAAAACGTCATGAATAGAGGGAAATAGAATTTCATTGGTTTAAGGCTCCGAGATACTAAGGATTTCAGCCTTCAGTATCTAAGGCTTTCACAGGTATTTCTTCATAAGCATAGCCTCAAGCACCGCTACCACCGATTTGGTTTTGCATCTCTGACAAAACTCTCTTAAACATGTGGCTATTCAAATGTCAGCTTTTAAAAAGAAAGATTTCAAAGCCATGGACAGCACGCAAGAACGCATCTCAATGAAAGAAATTTGTTGTTTGCTCTTTTAAGGAAGTATTTGAACACAGTAGACTATGCTCATGAGAGAAAACCTGATGCATGCAGCTGGCGGATGTTGGGTTGTTCAAATTAACAATCCCAGCATGCTTGGAAATTGGTGTTACAACCACTTTTACAGAGATAATATCAAAAAGTGGCTGTGGCCAATCACGGATAAAGGAGGAGAAAAGCAGAAGAGAGCAGGTAGTGTGGAATGAACTATTTCTCTGAAAAGGTAGCTGGAAAAAAAAAGGTTTGTTGCTTCAAAGTATTCCCAGACCTAAAAGTCACAGTGCAAAAAATAGGGCAGATAATTAACACAACCAAGAAGAATTGAGGCACAAAAGGAAAAGTACACACTAACTGTTCTACTTTGGAAATGAATGCATTTTTACTTACAGATCATAAAGTTTGTTTTTGCATAGATTTATCTGAAAGAAGAGAGCAAATCTTACCAAAGAGTTAGTGATATTTACACAGAGAACCTAAGGGAGCCAGCCCTGGGTAGAAGCATTCATCAACAGAAAAGCTGCTTTTGATTCTCAGTCCTTCTCCATCTTCGTCAAGTATATTTAAACATTGCATTTTACAGAATACACCAATTAAAATATCCTGTGAAGTTGAGTACTTCGATAAATTGCCTGATAATACAGTGCTTATGAAACCTTTGTTCCTTCTCTATTTTTGTCACTCATTACCAAGTCAAGAGTTGATAAACATCCTTTTAGTGCCCAATTCTTAAGTGTTTCTCACTGGATGCATAACAATGAATTCATTACCACTGGTACACAATTTGCATCGTTAGACAGAAAAAAAATGGAAAAAGAGAGGACATGTCATGTACAGAACCTGGACAATTTGTCATATAAAAACCCAATTTTACACGTAAACAAGAACTAAGAACAAATCAGAGGGAGTTTGGTGGTTTTTTTTTCCTCCTCTCAATATTGTCCTAGAGGCATACAACGATAATCTCAACTGTGGGAAAGCTTCACATCACACATGACAGAAACCCAAAGTCTAGAGCAGAACATACCATTCATCCGGAACAGACAGGTTTAAGCAATTGGGAACTCGGATAAAGTTGGGAAGGAGTTTCAAGTTGGGAACAGCAGCGAACAAGGTACCAACATAAACTGATTAACATGTAAAGAACAACCAGATCGTAGCGCTTCAGCTGACAAGTATCCTCCAGCAAGCTTTAAAATGTCTTTTTGATGGCTACATGTGTCTCTGGTCACTGGTTATTATTCTCTCATAATTTAAAAGGTCAATAATATCAGCTATGCCGGATTTAGAGTGACAAGAAAGAAATCTGATGCAAGTATAGGATCACTGATCAATGACTGCTACGCAAACTGTAAAGACAATGAAACACTCCCAGAAAAAAGACATTTTAAAATCACTACAAATGATTAAGCATAGATTAAACAGTTTTTCAGCTTCTTATTTTTCATTTCTTTCCTGAAGTCCACTGTCACAAGCAATTATCTGCACTATACCTTCAGCTGCAAAGATGACATCCCAAGTATTTCTCAATTTGTTTTTTAAAACCACGACATGAGTCTGAATACTATACCACTGGCCAAATGCACTAATGACAAAAAAAAAAAAAAAGCACTACAGTTTCTTTTAACTGTTTCCTCCCTCTTTTCCAGAAAAAGAAACATTTTGCATAGCTTCCGTTCTTAACTGCTTCCAAAGCCAACACCACAAAAATGATTCAGAACCACATCAGTTTTATTAACAAGAGAGAAAATAGCAAATGAGCTTCTTTAAAATAGCTCCCAGGCACAGTTGCCACCTAGAAATACAATAAAATTGTAATTTCACAAAGAAAGAGCCTTACCTTCGATTTTGGCATACTCTGATAGTCGAGTATAATTGACTAGAGCTGCTTGCTCCAAGCATTTACGGATGACTGTTTTTACCTCCTCTTGAGGGACTGGAGTAACTATGTCTTTCATCAGAACCTTGACACAAGAAAATCTGATTTGTTGTGGCATCGGGCACACAGAACTGCTTTTCTCCAAGCCCAGCACATGCATCCATTCCTACACAAGCTCTGCGTGGCTCTTGGGCTATGTGTACAATATGTAGGATCCACTACAAGGTCACCTTGGCCAGCTTGAGACGTGGCACCTACCCCTGCCATATTATCCCCCTTCTGCATCTACACCCTACAGCACACCCTGAAATCTGTGCGTTTGATTTTTTAGGGCATGACATTGAGATCTATCACAACTTGCCCAGTGCCAGGCAATGTTATGCCCTTCCTGGGCTCTGCTGGTTGACTCGGGTTTAGGACTGGGCTTGGCCATTCTGTAGGTTAGGTGAGGTGAGAAGGATGTTGGAGCAACAGGAAGGCAGAAATAGGGATGGGGAGGACGATGGTGAGCAGGTTTCCTGCACACGGAGGGAACGAGCCTGCCTGGAGATGGGAATTTCACCGGACAGCAGCCAGGCATTGTTTACAAGGTTCTGTGGTGTAGATACTTGCCAGCAAGATCCTCCACCCTTAACTACCGACACAGACGCAGGCTGTGCTGCCTTTAGAGGCCAGGCTACACACTGGCCTCCAAGCTGAACCAGGAGAGATAACAACCCCACATTTCAATATTAACTATAATTAATTACACATCCTATGCAAAAGCAACAGTTCCTCAAGCTCTTCTGGATGGAAAGATACACGAATACAGGTAATTTTAACTACTCTGTTATTCTTATGCTTACCCTTTCCAGCAGCGATAGAGTAGCTTTTAGTGCACCTTCTGGGCGGCCAAATGGGAAGCAGTACCTAGAAAAACCACATCATGTTACCATCAGACCAGCTGCACGTGAACAAGCCTTTCCAGCGCTATAAAGATGTTTTCCTAAATATGCCCCAAAATAATCTATTCCCTCTGCCTGGAATGAGCAGTCTTTCTACAAGGTGTTTGATGGTGTGGACTTTCAGGCAGCAAAACAGAATATGGGGTAGTAATAAGCTGAGAGTTTCAGCAGCTTATTAAATCTGGGTGTCACCTGGAGAGTTTTTAGATCTCATAGGAGAGAGTTAAACATCACTTTCTTGTAAAAATGGAAAATAAAACCCCTCTGGAAAGGACGTTTACTCCCAGGCTGTAAGTACCTGGCTGAACCAGGCACCATCCCTGGTGAGGGGCAGCTCCGCAGGGACTCTCGGTGTGGATGCACATCACCCATCTGCCTGCCAAAGTCCACCACCCGCCCTGGACCCAGCTGGGTTGCGGAGGGAAATTCACCCCTTTCTGTGGGGACAGTATCCATCCTTCTGCACTGTGACATCCCTGCAGAAAGCTCTGCCTGTCTGAACACTAAGGGAGAAGGGAAAATAAATGGGTAATAACTGAGCAGAGGGGAACAGAGAAATAAGAGGATAAGGGATATTTTTGCTGTTGTTGTTAAATTTTAGAAAAAAATCCACAGCATTACCACGCCTATGGGAGCAAGATGGTTTGAAATACCCTTTAAAGGTTCTATATTTAAAATCACTCTCCAGCTACAAACATGCTACAGTGCAAGCTTCACTGCCCTGTGTAGGTCTGTGCCACATATGTAAAATTCCCGTATGCATTCAAAACCTGCCTTTTGGCTTTGTTGCTTATAGGAGGGAGCTGGGAGGAAATCAGTCCTCTCGCATTCAGCCTGGGCTCTCTGCCTTTACCTAAAATGCGTGATCTGATTCTCCAGAAGCAAACGAAGCCGCTCCTTGATCTCTTCGAAACGTTCTTTCTCGTCTACAGTCACAGTTCCTATCCCGTCAGGCCTGGAGGAGAAATGCCACGAATGATTCAGACTCCACCTCGCCACCCCGGTAACTGATCCCCACAGCACACAGCACGCTGCCCCTTCGGAAGGGGACAGTCATTGACTCTGAGAGCTGGGACAGAGGGTGTGCCACGCTGAGACACGCGTGGTTGCGGCAGCACCACTGCCGAGGTACCAAAAATAAACAAATAAAGAAATATCCTTTCTCAGAGTGATAATCTAGATGTGGAAAGCCCTCTTCCCTCCCTTTTTTTTCCTGTGATAGAGAAGTCGGAAAAAGCAGAATCCCCTTTTAAATATGGCTATATGACAGGGAGTGCAACGCCAGCTCTCACTACAGGATCGGGCCCATTGCTAGCAAAATATGGGCTTAATTTCTGCAGAAAAATTCAGTTGCTAATTTAACACAATTCACAGTGTAAACGAATATCAACTACAGGCATATATACAAATAGAATATACAATTCTGCACTCCTTCATAACTGCTGAATCACCCCATTATAGTGATTTCTTGAAGCGAACCATCTTCAATACATTCTGCTGAAACGTGCCTAGAGAGCAACCTGCATTTTGTATTTGAAAATGCAATGTCTTTTTGGTCATGTAATTTTAATTTCTTAACATTAACACACTGCTACGATTTACTGTGGATTTTCTCAGGCTTTTTACGTCACTCTTGCATTTCAGGAGTGCACAGGAGCGCATTGCGAGACACCCAGGTCCTGCTGCCTTGGGGTATTTCTCATCTTTCCCAGCACACAGCGTGCAGGCGAACCCTGCCGAGGCTCTCCCAGGGCTGGATGATGCGCTGGTCCCTCTGCCCTTCCACCCCGTACCTCTGTTGATGCCAACCCATCCGAGAACCGACAGCAGCAATCCCCTCCTTCTCCCCCACACCCACACGGCCAAACACGCCGTGCAGCAGCATCCCGGGCGAGAGGAGCGAGCGAGTCTAATTCCATCCACCAAAGGAATCGGCCAGGCAGACAATCACCGGCACCGCTCCCCACGGCCGCTGAGCAAAGTCGATGGATTTGCGTACTCCTGGGCAACTCTGCTGGCACAGGCGCTCTTTAGGTGATGTAAGAAGTCTTAAAATTGAACAAATGTTCTTACTTAAAGGCCTCCTCCAGTGTTCAGCTTAAGCTGCATAAATCCGCAGTACTAGACTGGTTTGGCTATACAAAAGACTTGGCAAGGGATTACAAAGCTTCTAATGAACCTCCTGTCAGGGGTTAATTGGTTGGCTTTATTTTCCTCTTAAAGAATCAAAGGCCCTAAACTTAAAAAAAAATATCCCCAACCCTATAAAAAATTAAAAGCTATAAAATCTGTACAATCACTTCTACTTGACCCTGCATTTAGTAAGATCTTAATATCATAATACAAGCTCTGATGCTTCAATACAGGTGAATAAAACACTAAAACATTTTGGAAGACGAACTAGAAAACCTTACATGGTATTACTGCAAAATTTTAAAGCTAAATATACATTAAATAAAACTTGCAACATGGACACAGAAAAAGACTCGAATACCAGGGGATGTATTTAAATTTAAACAGCATTTAATCAGAAATCTTTACTTGATTATTTGCCAAATTGAGTTGTGTATTAAGGAAAAAAAAAGGAAAAAAGATTCAGGCTGAAACTTGGATAAAATGTCTCAGCTGGGGAACACATTTCATAAACAGTTTTGGAAGTATGGATCTGGTCTCATTAGTACCTAATTAGGACTAGTTATTTTGAAGAAATGAGCAAGCCACAAAAAAAACCCCAAATTAGATATCGAGCAAAAATTAATGTCTGAACATGCTTAATATATTCTTATTCCAAAGTTCCATAAACTATTTAATATTCAGAGAGAGATGTTCATGCCTTTTGTGATGCTGTGCACCTCACAGCACCTGGGTTGCTCCCAAGCAGGAGAGCAGACAACTCAAGGCAGACCGCAATAAATGCCATACATTAAGGGGCAGGGTTGAAGCCCTTTTTTGACTTTTGGCATTCGGTTCCCCCCCTGTGCCCATAACAGCTCACTGAGTGTCACTAGGTTAATTGTATCAGCGCTGACAAATGGTGTAGGAAAAGCCGCCTGCCCTGGCAGTGATTTGCTGACGGACTGGAAATGGTCTGAAAGTTATGTTACCCTTTGCTGGGTCAATAACCTCAATGGGCGAGATTTAATGGCAGGATCTGACAGCTCAGGTTGGGTGGCAGCCCTTTCACAGGGATCACAGCTTCTCACTGTATTCAAAGGGCTTCGGTTTTGCCAGAACTGGTTATTCAGCACCCACGTAACGACTCGTGTTAGACACCCAAAACGGGCTCATGTGACAGCGTCAGTCGCACCCCGCCTGGGCAGTGTCAGCTCTGGAAGCATCGCTTGAGAAACACTGACCCACACGAAGACGCAGGGTGGGCTCTGGAGAGCGAACCTCTGGCCAACGCAGCTCTTGCCCAAGTCACAACGTCCCAACGGACGGCAACCCAACCACCGAGGTGCACGTACACCACGGAGGCTTAACCCATGGTCTCCACCATCCCTTTCTTGGGATCTTTGTGAGCCAGGGGGACACCACACCCCACGGCTGCGGCCACCGCTCCCTCCACGCAGGGCCCGCTGCGCGGTGTAAACGCACGCCGCTCTCACGTATCATGCTACTACAAACTTGAGACAATCTACAGGTCAGCTGTAGCCATTTTTGGAGCAGTGCGGATGTCTGGAAGGGCCTGCCAACCGAGAGCCATCACCACGGCAAGGACTCCCTTTCTCACCCAGCTGTGGACTATATTGCATCTGACATGATGAGCATCTCTTGAATCTACCTTTCAAATTTTCGGCAAACCATTTTCTCACTGTCCTTCACAAAGTTGACATTTTCGGCAGCATGATAGGAAAGATGTCATGTCGGCTGCTTTTCAAGTTGTTGTCACAGTGGTTAGCACCAGTTCTGTCATCTTTGCTTTCCTCACAATCCCCCATCTTGAGCCATGTCACAAATAATAATACTTCCAATGTTTTTGTCAAATTTCAAATACTATAACCCAGCTGCACATCTTCGGATTTACTAGTTATGTTAATCTTTGTTGCTCATCTTCCCAGAAGCTGAAGCATTAGGAACTCATTAATTAGTGACAAATGCAGGATATACATAGAACTGGAAAAACAGTACCCAAAGCCTTGCACTTAATTTAATAGCTCGATAATTTTGAAACCTAATTAAATATTCCAGTCAAATATACTTTGAAAATGTAATCTTTTTGAGGGAACATATTTATTTTCCCTTTTGCAAGAACACAAAGGGTACATAGCTCAGCATCGCTATAATTTAAGATTCACTTCTGTGCTCTAGACAATTCCAGTACAGGGCTGATGGGGCTGAAAAAAATCCCGAGGAGAAGCTCAAGTCGCACCAGCTCATTTTGATGCTTATCGGCAATTTTGTTTTCAGCAAAGGTCTCCAGCTCAGCTTTGATATTTGCTATTTGATCTCATGGACAGAAGCACCAACTCCTCCAGCAAGCAGACCGCCTCCAGCAAGCAGCGTTCCTGCAGCAAGGCTGGCTAAAACGCAGCTGGGGGAAAGGGGTGTTCGTGCACGCAACCGATATTACACTGAAGCAGTGATGGGGAATGAGAGGAGAGCAAAAGGGTGAAAAAAAGTTCCGTGTGTACATGGCATATACAGGCACACAAGGGACAAAATGGGTTTGGGTCTGTGAATTCGGCTCAACAAACAACATGAACGTCTCCATCTGTGTGGAGACACGATTTCAGCTGATTCTCTAGAGCTCCTGCTCACGGACACTCGAGGTGTATGGCAGAAGTTGTGGGCAGAGAGGGAAGCAGAAGGGCAAAAAAGGCAAGAAAAATAAATAAGGAGATTTTTAATTATAAGTAAACAAGTTTCAGATCACTCCTGCTGCTGCAGATTCACTGTGTTGGCTCTAAACTAGTAAATTCCCACTGTAAATATTTCATATGAAAAGTTTTAAATGTCGCTTTCCTAATTCCCCCTTGTTTTTAAGTTTTAAGCCATGAAAACAACACCACCAACAAAGCAGGTGGTGAAACAAAAAAAAAAAGGATTGCAATTTAAACAGCAAAAATGATAGTCCTTGTTTAGCTTAGATGGTTTGTGCAAATTTCGGGGTTAATTATAAATTATAATTGGGACCTGTGATCCTAAGGCCACTGCTTTATTCTATAAGCCCCGCCTCCCCCCATGCCCTTTTCTAATTATACCCGGTGCCCCCAGGGTTAGTTATGCTGCTAAAACAAATATATCAAAATGATTTTTAACAAAGACTAATATATGAAGCAATAGCATGCATTTGTATGCAATTATAAATATACAGTATAGCTCCAGTGGGTTAATCTCTTTGACATAAGCCCGTACGAAATACCATGGCGGCTTAGAAATGAAAAGACGTATCTTTTACACCTTTTATGTTTAACTTGTCTACACTTTTTTTTTTTTTTACTGGGGAAAATATTGCTTACACGTAGCAAACAGATCTTTGCATGCACTGTGAGCCCTGGCATACAGAGCCAAGGAAAAAAAAAACAATGTCAAAAACTGATGCAAATAATTTGATTTTTTAAGTAACAACTCAAATATAAAACACGTGCTGCCTTCAGCTCCCTTGCTGGTTGCCAGGTGCAGCACATATGAGCTATACAGTAAACATCGATGATTAGCGCCTTGGACGGCATGTGTCAGGATAGGCTTTCAAAGGATCCCTTGCAGGAAGACTTGCCTGCACCACGTCCCGCCGGCTGCACTGGGAACTGATCCGGGGCCATGGGCAGGACCACAGCTGCCTGCCTCCTGCCTCCTACATCTCCCCCAGCAAATCTGACCTGAAAGAGCCCACCTGTTTAGACCCCTTGAAAAAAAAGCTTATTCAGCAAACATCGATTTTGCCCAACACCCCTTTCTTCTGGGAATTCACACCGTGCACGAGAGGTCGGTTGAAAGCCCTTTGTTCAACCC